TGGGAGTTGAAGTCCGCACATCTTAAAGTTGCTAAGGTTGAGAAACCTTGTGTTATAAGGTTGGTGGTGGATGAAGCTCACGTGTGTGGGGACAAGTACCTTATACCACCACAAGAGGAAGTTGGTCAGACAATTAGAATCAGCGGAAAGAGGTGGTTTCACAAATAACAGGTGTGATGCAGCATAAAGAACCTATTTTAAACATTTTAAAATTTTTTATACTCAATCTCTAACCAATCGCATTTATACCCCTGTAATTCCTGGTTGCTCAATTATAAAGACACCCTACTTCCTCTCTTTCAGCATCTTGCCCTGGAGCGTCACCAAACATACCCACGTGTGCTTGATCGGGCTTTGCAAACCCTTAATAAATTTTAGAGATTGAAATACTCTGTGTCGTCCCGACGGAGTAGGAAAAACGAACCTCAGCTTTTCCCTGCAGGGCCATGTGAGAAGGGAAGGAAAACCTGTAAGTCGAAAATGGGCTAAAGAAATTGAGGAATTTCCTCTCATTGCTTTTTCTCCAACTCTGGTGAAGTGGCAGGTCCCCTCACAGCTAAAACAGGAGCTTGCAGGGATATGACCGTCATCAGTCTGAGAACTAGCCGTGTAATTTGCCACCTGCTATTTTTGGCAAGTCAATCTTTCTATTGTTTTATGTTAGCTTTAGTAGTTATGCTGTGGTCAGCAATTTATTGTTTCTTATTATCACTGGATTATTGGTTAATCTTATTGTTGTTTGGTTTTAATTTCTTATACACCACCCAGAGTCACTCAGAGGTGGGATGGCCATATAAATTGAATGAATGAATGAATGAATGAATGAATGAATGAATGAATGAATGAATGAATGAATGATCTCTATTATTTTTGCACTGATGTCTTACCACGGACATTTTATTGCAACGTACTGTATGTTTCTTCTTGTTGGTCTGTAAAGATTCAGTGGCACACAAATTTAATAGATAGATACATAAAGAAAGAGGCCCCGGTTCTGTGTGCGGGCAGCATTAGGATTTGTCGCCTTTGGGAAGAGCACAAGTTGTTGCTTTTCAAACATACGAAGCCTATTAAATAGCTCACAGTACA